CATGGCAGCACTGTTAAGCTGTAGGTCAAGCTTTAACAACACCACTGAAGAAAGGTTTAAACTCCATCCCCACCTGGCTGACCTCATCTTATTAAGAGAGTCTTATTAACCAGATGACTGTTGGGGCCATGAGTACATTTATACGGTGCAGGTGTTTTCTTCTTTTTGTTTTGTTTTGGTTTTAATCTTGGGAATTCCAGAGTGGCTCCAGCTCCCACAGTGCTCAGGGCTGCCACCAAGTCATTGTGTCTGCCGGGGCACCTCTGTATCCCACTCCCTTTCTCCCTAGTTGCAGTGGGATTACTGGAGCCTCTGAGCATTGTGGGAAACTCCCCGGGGTCCCCTTCTCAGGAGGTTCTTGTTTATTAAAGCACTGGCCAGCATTTCATTCCACCTATTGACCACAAGAGTCCCCCTGCTGTCTTGGGATCCTTCACAGGCCTTGAATAGTCTATTTTACAAAGGCATTCACGGCAGGGATTCTTTAGGGCGTGACATCCTACAGGTAACCATTGTCTGTGGATTATTCACGTAGGGCTGGCTTTCCAGGCCTTCAGAAGCAATGATAAACAGCTCTTAAAGGGTCGCCCAGGTCAACAGACAGAATAGGGTTTGACTGACACAGATTCTATTGACCCAAGGTTTTTAAGAAAAACAGTTGCCGGGGAGAAGAAGCGCCCACATGCCGCAGCTGGCGCCTAAGGCAGCCTCCGGCTGTGACGGAGCGCCCTCTGCTGGCCACTGCTGCCTTGCAGGCCCGGTCCTCAGGACATGGCATACTCCCCACTCCTGCGTGGAGAGGGGGCAATTTTTTCTAAATAGCTTTATGGAATTATAATTAACAGACAAAAAATTGATCTGTTGAAAGGGGAGAGTTGGATGGTTTTTAGTAAGCAATTGGCATCAAAACCCAGTTCTAAAATGCCTCCACCCCTCAGCAGTCACTGCCCAGGCCTAGGGAAACTACTGACCTGCTTTTGTCTCTACAGTTTTGCCTTTCCTAGAAATTTCATGTATGTGAAATCTTGCAGTATGATCAATATTTTAACGTTATATTTGTAACATATTTTTGAGGTCTCCCCATGCCATGGAGCCCACTCCCCTGTACAGCTGGGTAGAGTTTCATTCCACAGCTTTACAACATCTGCCTATTCTGTCACCTGCTGGTGGGACATTCGAGTTGTTTACAATGTTTTGCTGTTATAATGTGGTTAAGAACATTAGTATACAACCCTTTGTGTGAATGTACGTTTTAATTTCTCTTGGTTGAATACCTGGACATAGAATTGCTAGGTCACATAGTAAGGCTAGGTTTAACCTTTTAAGAAACAACCAAATAGTTTTCCAAAGTAGCTGCACCATTCTACATTTCTGCCAGCAGTGTAGATGGCTCTAAGTGTGTTCGCTTGTCCACGGGTGTGACCCTGGCATTCCTGCTTCTCCCTTTCCTGAGGAATCCCTGGGCTCTTTCCCTGCTCTGGACACTAAGCTCCTACTTAAGATGTTGCCCCATATTTGCTGCCCACATTTAACTCACATAGGGAAGTTTTCAAAATTAAATTAGTTGCAACATTTAAATGCAAGGAAGGCTTGGATTAAGAGCCAGACATTCAGCTATTCTTGAAAACTTGGAGGTACTGGTCACCAGTGGTGCCAATTTCTGGTTGGCAGCAGGCAGGTGTCACTAAATAGCATATGCCCTAGCCCTCCCGTGCCCACCCCATGTCTGAGCCACTCCCTACTCTCTCCTATCACTGAGGTTGGTGCTAGTTACCATTTGCCCCACCATTTGAGCATTAGGTTAGAATAAATAAAGCATCTTTTTCATTGATGTACATTAGTTGTACATATTTGGGGGGTACTTGTGATATTTTAACATTGTGTAATGATCAAATCAGGATGACTAAGCAAGACTGAGACCCCATCTCTACTAAAAATAGAAAAATTAGCCAGGAGTTGTGTTGGGCGCCTAAAATCCCAGCTACTCAGGAGACCAAGGCAGGAGAACAGTTTGAACCCAAGAGCCTGAGGTTGCTGTGAGCTGGGCTGATGCCGCTGCACTCTAGCCGGGACAACAGTGTGAGGCTCTTGTCTCAAAAAAAAAAAGGGGAAAGAAAAGAAATTCCACTTATTAATAAAAAGTCTGAAAGAAGATTAAGAATAGAGGACAGATATCTCAAAACATGGTGGGAAAGAACTTGCCCCCACCAATAATTATTAATGAGAACACATCAAATCTGCATAAGAATTCACACCAACTGACTCTGAGATACACCCCAAATTTGTTGAATTAGCATTTGTTATAAATAGCAAGAATTCAGGTGAGTTCCTTATTATATAAGGTGATCAGATTTTAACATTGATAAAGCAGGACACCATTGATGGGGTTGGGGGGAGGTGGGGGGTTCTTAATTAAAAATTTGGTCTATATGGAGCAACAAAAATTTACATAGAATGCAAAAATAGTATTGTAATATATATTTTTTTAATTTCAACATAAGTACAATTTACAAATATAATACATTAAAAAAAATTATGTATAGGGCAGCACCTGTGACTCAAAGGAGTAGGTGGCGGGTTCAAACTATACATAAAAAATTATGTATGGTATTATTTTATTCTTTGGCATATTTCTCATTTGAGTGAATTTTTTTTAGTGGATTGCTGTCATTGTTTAAAAGGTCATGAAATTTTTCACAAGAATTATATTTCACACATAAAATGGCTTTCAAAGTCTCAACACTTAATTGTGATTTTTCTGATGTCCACACTTTATTTACCATATAAAAAACACATTCAGTCACAGCATTAGTTCCTGGTAAGGACAGTGAATATCCCACAATTTTTAGTGCATTATTATATGGAACATGGTTTGTTTCAAAATGATGAAATATTTCTAAACATTTGTTCTCTATTGTGATCTTTGCTGATGCCCAAGAGTTAACCTTTTCCTTATCAATATATTTTTTTTTAACAATGATACCTGTAAGTCCTAAGTGTCACTTTCAAGGCCAGCGCTAGACTTTTTGCCACCACTATAAAATATAAATAATACAAGTACTGTCTGCTAAATTCATGAAATAAGTAAATAAATTACTTACCTAAATTATTTTAATAGCTGTTGTTGACATCACTTGTTTAACTAGCACTACCACGCAGTACAACGTGTACCATCTGAGAGACAGTTACAAAATGTTTTCGTGGTTGCCAATGCCAAAAAATGCCATTGTTCATTAAGTCCAAACAATGGTAGTCGAATTCTAACAACTAATCAACAATGCGAACTTTGATAAGCAGTTCTTGATATCAGTTCTCAACAATTATTTGTTATTATTGAAGTTTAACATTATAAAATTAGCAAAAATAATATAAAACTCATATCCTGGTGAAATAGCTACATGGCAGTGTTGGGACCAGAATTGCCGCTGAGAGACCACCACACACATGTAAAGACAAAAAGTGCTTTATTTTGCAAGCATATGCCTGGGCCACTCTTCCCTTCAGCATGGCTGGAGGAAGGGCAACACCCTAGTGAAGCAAGCTGAGGTTTTTAAAGCACATAGAGGAATTTCATTGGGTGTTTTGTCAGGCCGGGCTGCTATTGGCTGAGTTAGGGACCCTGGGGGTGGAGGGAGAACTACTTGTTTGTTCCAGACAGTTTGGCTCCTTCTGAGCTAAATGTCCTTGCCTATAAGCGAGGGAGGGAGCCAGTATCCTTCTAATACCGATTCCACCTGGGCAACCTTGCCCAGGAGGTGAGTAATGAAGTTACATTAACCTCTTCATTCCCAAATGGAGTTATATTAACCTTTTCAGCAGCCACCGTATATTCCCTCCCCATTGTCCCGCCCTTCCCTGGTTTGTCATGCATTCTTTCCAAAAAT